GTTCAGAAGGTTTCAAATCCGCAATTTCTTGAGTTGCCCAGATAGAAGGTATCTGCTAAAAGAGCCAATACTAAAAACTATCATATATTCTAGTTCAAAATTTATATCTTCAGTACAATATATTATCATCCTCCCTCCCTACTAAACAGATCAGTGCAAAACTGATTTCCCCTAGTTTCTCTTAATAAACATCTTACGTGTCTATAGCACTCTATAGATTATTAAATACGTTGCTTTTAATTATCTGTGAAGTAGTCAGGAATTTTTATTTTATAATCGTTTTGCAGATGAAAAAATGGTCTCTGGTTAAGAAACTTGCCATTGTCAAAAGACTCAGTCAAAAGGATTGATGTCTGGGTTTCATACCATGTAGTCCCATGGTGTGCCATCACAATTTGCTGGCCCTTTGAAATATTCCTTGTGCAGTAGTCACTAGTAATTTATGAAGTTCATCTTTCTTAAACCTCCCTGTGATTGAATTATCATTTTTATTCCAAAGGCCATAGGCATTATCAAAATGTTGTTTTACTTTTCTAGTGTATGTCAAAAGAAATTTTGTGCTCTGTTTTAAAATTACTATTTTTACTGCTCAGAAAATACAATGATTATTTTTCAGATGATGTGTAGATCCTGCCATAAAGTGATACTGGAAAGTTTTAGAAGTAATATCTTTAGATTATTCCAAAAAGAAAAAACAAAAACCTTTCTTTTTTTTTTTTAAAGATTTTATTTATTTTATTTTTCCCCCCAAAGCCCCAGTGGATAGTTGTATGTCGTAGCTGCACATCCTTCTAGTTGCTGTATGCGGGACTCGGCCTCAGGATGAACGGAGAAGTGGTGCCTCGATGCGCACCCGGGATCCGAACCCGGGCCACCAGCATCGCAGCGCGCGCACTTAACCACCAAGCCACAGGGCCGGCCCAACCTTTCTTGATTATAAACCTTTTTGTGTGTGTTTGTGGCTAATTTTGGATTACACTGAGCTCATCTTAATAACTAGCATACTTCAGATGTTTTGGAATAGCCTTTTAGAAAATCGAGATATTTTTATATTCTGTAATTTTTATCATATTGAAACACTAATGTCCAAATCTATTTTTTACCTTTTTATGATGAAAGTATCCCCCTAAAGTAAATTGGAACGTTTTCAGTGAACATGAACACTGTTTATTCTAGGCATGAGGATTAGGTCACTTTGCTACGCAGTGCTGTAGAACAGGAAGTGACTATTTCTAATCCCTTTGGTCAGGGCTTCATTATTTTAATCATAATATTCTCGGGCCGGCCCCGTGGCTTAGCGGTTAAGTGCTTGCGCTCTGCTGCTGGCGGCCTGGGTTCGGATCCCTGGTGTGCACCGACACACCGCTTCTCTTGCCATGCTGAGGCCTCGTCCCACATACAGCAACTAGAAGGATGTGCAGCTATGACATAACAATTATCTATTGGGGCTTTGAGGGGAAAATAAATAAATAAAATCTTTAAAAATCTTTATAATCATAATATTCTAGTAATTCCTCTGTTTGCCAGAATTTGATTTGGAAAGCCAGAGTTGTAAATCGGTTTAATATTATTAACTTGTGGAATAATTTATATTTTAATGTTGTTCTATGACTAGTTAACTGTATATTATGTATATATGTTTTTCAAAAACTAAGAAAAGAATAATTCTGAAAACCTGAACAGCAAGACCATATGAAATTGAATGGGTTGATTTGTTAGGTTCTCTGCTCCATAATTAATGTGAACTTTGATACAGAACCATTTTCTGTTTCAGAAAGGCTCACCCTCTTTGAAAAGCATGTCTTATGTAGACTTTAAACTTGTGCACTGATAAGGTTTCTTCAGGTGTTAGTCCTAAGAATTGACTGTTTTGTGATGTGATGTTTTAATATAAAACAAACCTTAACATGGGAATGAATGGGTAATTGTATTTGCTGTATATTTAAATGTTTTTTGATATTCTGAATAAAAAACGAGGATATAGCAGTTGTGACTTAGTGGTCTTCATGTTCTTTTTCTCCATCCTTCCTCGTGATAACCAAATCATACTTAAAAATAAAACTCCAGGAATGCAAGGATGGCTCAATGTTAAGCAATCTGTTCATTTAATTAACTGTGTGAATGGATAAGGGAGAAAAACTAAGATCATCTCATTAGATGCCAAAGATCATCTGAGGAAATTCATTGTCTTCTCTTTTTTTTTTAATAATTTTATTTATTTATTTATTTTTCCACCAAAGCCCCAGTAGATAGTTGTATGTCATAGCTGCACATTCTTCTAGTTGCTATATGTGGGGCGCGGCCTCAGCATGGCCGGAGAAGCGGTGCGTCAGTGCGTGCCCGGGATCCGAACCCGGGCCGCCAGCAGCGGAGTGTGCGCACTTAACTGCTAAGCCACGGGGCTGGCCCTGACTTTTTTTTTTAACTAGCAAAATAAGAACAAATAAATCTAGCAACATAGACATGAATAGAAACTTCCTTAATGTAATTTTTTAAAATCTCAAATTAAAAATGAGAATCATAGGGCCAGCCCAGTGGCATAGTGGTAAGTTCACACAGTCCGCTTTGGTGGCCCAGGGTTTGCAGGTTCGGATCCCGGGCATGGACCTACGCACCACTCGTCAAGCCATGCTGTGGCGGCATCCCGTATATGAAATGGAGGAAGATGGGCCCAGATGTTAGCTCAGGGCTGATCTTCCTCAGCGAAAAGAGGAAGATTGGCAATGGATGTTAGCTCATGGCCAAGCTTCCTCACACATGCACTCATACACACACACACACACACACACACACACACACACGAGAGAGAGAGAATTGTACTTAAACATTAGATGCATTCCCGGGAGACTTGGGAACAAGACTGCTGTGCTCACTATCACTATTTAACATTTCATTGTTAAGTCCTAGTTGATGCAAAAGAGAAAAGAGATGTAAATATTGGGAAGAGAAGGTATTATTATTTTTTGCAAATACCAAAAAATACCTGGAAATCCCAAAGAATCAACTGATAAGCTTTTAGGAATAAAATAATTCAGTAATGTTGCTGCTTACAAAAGTAATACAGTGAAAGGAAAGAGCCAGTTTACAACCACAAGAAAAAGTTTGTTAGTTAGAAATCTATCTCACAAGAAATGTGTAGGAGACCTGATTTTTCAAAACTACTGAGTGATACTGAATGACGGCACTAGGAAGACATACCTTGTTCTTGAATGAGAAGATTTAACATTTTAAATCTATCAGATGGCCTCTAAATTTATCTGTAAATTTAATACAGTTCCAACCAGAACACCAACAGATTTTTTTTTTAATTTTTTTACAAAATCATCTGGAAAAGGTGTATGTGAGAGTGTTTGGGAAAATCTGAAAAAAGAAAAGTAGTAGTAGGGCAACTGATGTTAAAATATTAAAAATATAAAACCACCATAATTAAAATGGAATTTTATGGCACAGATAAGTAGAAAAGAATAGAGTCCACAATACCTGTGGGAAATGATGGAGGTTCTATAGCCTGGCTCTAATTAAGAGCCTCAGCTCTGGGCTCGGACTGTGCCTGGGTTTGAACCCCTTTTTTGTTTGTCACTAGGTCTGTAACCTTAAACAAGTTAACTTGCTAAGCTTCCTTTTCTCCAGCTGTAAATGGAGGGTGGTAATAGAAAGTTAAACCGTGAAAATACTATAAGAAAGCATAGGTGAGTTTTTTTTTTTAACCTTGGACTAGACAAGGCCTTTGTAAAACAAGCCATATGTGGTTCAGAAAGATTGATAAATTTGACTACACGAAATTAAAAACTTTTGTAGTGCCGAAAAATACCATTTAAAAATAAAAGGAACTTGGGATAAAATTTTTTGTCTCATATGTAACAGACAGAACAGAGCTAATTTGCGTACTATCTTACAAAGCATTAAAAAAAGTACTACTAAGTAGTACAGTGATCAATGACAAAAAGTTACATACTGTCTTCTTCTAGTTGTATGAAGTCAATAAGCAAAAACTAGAAAGTGATTGTTGGGGGGGGGTTGATTAAAAAGGAGCATGAATAAACCTTCTGGAGTGAGGTTAATGTTCTATATCTTGGGTAGTTAGGAGAGGCTTAGACAGTTAGAGCTTGTTGACCTGAATACTTCAAGGTCCATGCATTTTATTGAGTGTTAATTATACTTCAGTTTAAAAAATCGGTAAAAGTGGTCCAGGGACATGAGCAAATTCACAGAAAAAGAAGTACCAATGGGATATTAAATTAAAAAGATGGTCTACTTTCTACTTAAAGTTGTTTCAACAAAAGTTGAAACAAGGAAAGAAGTTAAAACAAGATGCTAGTTTTTAATCTATCATAATTGAAAATGATTTATAAATTCATAATAGCAAGTGATAGAAGAGGAACTAGAAGGAAAAGCAGACAGTGTAAATAGGCAAGGGACTTTAAAATTGGCATGAACTTTTGAGATGGATTTTAGATAACCTTCCCTGTTCACTGTAAATTTTGTTTCTAGTATTTTCCTGGTGATGGATTCACAAGTGAGCAAAGATATGTGTTCAGACATGTTTACTGTATCATTGTTTCAAACAACCCAAAATGCAAACAAACCTAACCTGCCACCAAAATGAGAGTGTAAGCTAAATTATGGATCACTTTTGTACGTAAAAAGGGATGAAGTTAATAGAGCTGTATGAACTATTATGGAAATTTTTTCTATATAAAGAAAAACACTCTATATGAATGATTAAGATTCCATTTAAGTAAAAGTAATGTATGCGTAGAAAGTTCCTAAAAGAATATATAAGAGGGGCCAGCCCCGTTGCGCAGTGGTTAGGTTTGCATGCCCCGCTTTGCTGGCCCAGTGTTTGCCGGTTTGGATCCTGGGCCTGGACCTACGCAGCAACGCTCATCAAGCCATGCTGAGGCCGTGTCCCACCTAGAGCAACTAGAAGGATGTACAACTATGACATACAGCTATCTGCTATGGCTTTGGGGACCAATCTTCCTCAAAAAAAGAATATATAAGAAATGGTAAACAATGGTTTTGAAATATTCCTTCTTTCTTTTTAGGAAAATGTCTGATGAATTTTCGGTAAGTTGATGCATTTATCCTTTGTAAGTTTTTTGGCTCTTAGGAGAACATAGTCCTAACTGTGGACCATAAGTCTTTTAATTTAAAAGAGGTGCTGCTTGTGATTCTTGGATTGAGGAGGGAGGGGGATGTGATTGTGATCGGTGATTTGCCTTAATTTACTTAGATAAAACATGGTTGAAAACACTTCTTTAGTATTTATTTCTTATGAATCCATAAGTAAAAAATTTAAAAAGTATTTCTTCTGTTGTTCTCTTTTAACCTGATATTAATAATAGCCACCGTTTATTGAAAATTATATACCAGGCACTGTGTTAAGTGTATCAAGTGAATTATCTCATTTAAGCCTCAAGTTAACCCTAAACTGTTTTTTGAAAATGAGAAAGCTAAAGCTTGGAGAGGGTATGTAACTTGTTTGAGGTAAAGCCAAGTATTCAGATCCACAATATGTTGATTAGTTGTATTGAGAAAACATGAGCTTCTCTGAGGAATGTGCATTGTAAAGTTGATAATTCGAAGTAACCCCTGAAGTTTTGTATTAAATGAATTGTTTTTAAACTGAAGAGCTCGGCTTTTGAAGATGTTACAGAGGTTTGTAATCCTTGACCCAGTAGCTTACTATCTTTTATGAGTTTATAATCACGTTTGGCATGACTTGTCCCTGAATAAGATTGGTAAAGACATGCTTGTTTTGTATTCCAGTTGGCAGATGCACTACCTGAACACTCCCCTGCCAAAAACTCTGCTGTGAGCAATACAAAACCTGGCCAACCTCCTCAAAGCTGGCCAGGTTCCAACCCTTGGAGTAACCCAAGTGCTCCACCTTCTGTGCCATCTGGACTCCCATCAAGTGCGACACCCTCCACTGTGCCTTTTGGACCAGCACCAACAGGAATGTATCCCTCTGTGCCTCCCACTGGACCACCTCCAGGACCCCCAGCACCATTTCCTCCATCTGGACCGTCATGCCCCCCACCTGGTGGTCCTTATCCAGCCCCAACTGTACCAGGCCCAGGCCCCACAGGGCCATATCCTACACCAAATATGCCCTTTCCAGAGCTTCCAAGACCATATGGTGCACCCACAGATCCAGCTGCCACTGGTCATTTAGGTCCATGGGGATCCATGTCTTCTGGACCTTGGGCACCAGGAATGGGAGGGCAGTATCCTACCCCTAATATGCCATATCCATCTCCAGGGCCATATCCCACTCCTCCTCTTCCCCAGGCACCAGGGGCAGCACCACCTGTTCCATGGGGCACTGTTCCACCGGGAGCCTGGGGACCACCAGCACCATATCCTGCCCCTGCAGGATCATATCCCACACCAGGACTCTATCCCACTCCCAATAATCCTTTTCAAGTGCCTTCAGGACCTTCTGGTGCTCCACCAATGCCTGGTGGCCCCCAGGTGAGTGTTTGTTATTTAACATGCACTAATAATCACATAAGCACACCTGAAAGATTATTTGTCTCCAGTCTTGGATGGAAGATTAGAAAGCTTTTAAAACTTTAAGAGAAGGCGTGTGTGTATATCAAGAGTAAATTTCACACTTCAGGTAAAGCATTTAAAAGGATGAAAACACAAGTATTCCCAGTACTAAAAATGGAAAGAAAAATTTCCCCCAAATCCCCAAAGACCTTGTAATGTAGCAGTGTCCTCAACAGCATCCTTGAGGTAAACTCAGAGATAACATTTAATTGGACTTAACTTTTTTTTTTAACATTTCTCAGTAATGTTTTTTAGCATCACACGAAAGCACAGTTCAATAAGAGCAATCCCTGCCTGTCTGGCTGGATATAGAGGTAGACTTTGAGAGAATCCAGGGCAGTGAATATGTAACATTGCCCATCTTGCATGCAAAACTGAGTGTTTCTCAGCCGAGGTTTTTTAGATCCTTAGCAGCATTGAGCTCAAGGTTCTACCACTGTTATGCATTGTGTAATGCTTTATACTTTGCTGTCCGTCAAGCTGGAGTAGAGCTGACGTCTTAGTTAAGGCCTTCTTGGACATATGACCAAATTGAAAAGCACTCTGCTTCCCCCATGAAGTAAGTCAAGTGAGTGTCCAAATGCAGAGTCAAGATTCTCCTTGAGGGGGGAACAATCTATTTACTCTTAACAAAATAACTAATCAGCTCTCCAACTAGGTTAATCAAACTTCCACCCCAACTGTAAAGGAAGAAAATCTTAATAAAGTGCCCCCAAAGCTTCTTTTCATTAGTGTAACTTCTTGCTATATATATTCTCTTAAAAATTTATTTTTTTAAATTGTATGCCAAAATGAGTGAGATGACTTGCTGTTTGGATTTATGATGCAATAAGTTTATTTTAAGCCACAGAAAGGAGTTAATAAACTCCATTTACAAAACCTAGAAGTTTACTTTTTCTTTTTTCTATTGCAGTCTTACCATTAAGGTTAACAATGGATGAAGAGATGACGCTTTGCTTTTTGAAGTACATATATATGCACATGCATGCATATATAAAAATTGCTGTTTCACTATTCTTAGAGGGCATTCATGAATGAACAACTCTTGCACCTCTCAGAGAAGATATCTGCCTCTTGTACTTGGATGTATCAGATGGATACAATCAAAAATGTAAATCATTCAAATGTGATTTTTATTCAGTTTTTATGGAGAGTTGAAGTGATTATGTTGAATAGCTCTTTGATAGAATTTGTTTAAATTATGAAACTACACACTTAAAAACTAAGATGCTGTGGATTATTGTTAGAATCTGCAACCTCATTGGCAAATTATTTCAAGTATTTTTCTATAATCACTTTTTCCCCTGAATAAACACTTTGAAAACAATCACATTGTCATAATTTAAACAAATGATAGCTTCTCAATATCTTGAGCTAATCTTTAGGATAAATAAACCTGGTCCTTTTGAGGTTATTTTTTGGGTATACATTTTAAAACTGCCAGTAATTATTGTTGAGTTAGTTAGGCGGTGTTCATTTTTATCCTCAAGCTTTTAGTAAAGACTTTTCCTTCATTTTGAGTTCCACCTGATTTATTTTTAGCCAGATGGGTCATACAACTCTAAAATCTGCCTTTTGTGGAAACTTTTTTCTTTTTAATGCAGGCCAACATGTATGTAAATTATGTTCTTAGAGAATTGGTGATCTCTTGGTATTGCTTTAGAATAGGTTATGAGATGTCCATAGTGCTTTGGGAAGAGCTCAAGGAAGGAAATAATTCTCTCCTTAGTCTTGAACCTCAAACTAGAGGAAACCCTGGGAATTGCTTCATAGTGACAAGTAATTTGCATTCACACGACCTCTTCCTCCCTGTAGCCCCCCTCTCCCTTAGTTCTTTCAAAGGAGCACATCCCTTAATTCCTCCCCGATATGGAAGACTGATACACTCTTGGGGTCTGTTGTAAACACATACAGCAGTTGTGTTTAGAGAACCTTAGTCACACAGACATGACTTCTCTTTGTACAAGTGCGATCAGAATATGTATTTGTCTTTCAGAGTCTGGTTAGACTGTCATTGTCTCTTGCATAGTTTACTGGTTCTGTTTGTAAAGTGCTTATGGCTCACAGTTCAGTTCTGTATTTGCTGACAGGAAATAGGTAGAATTGAGTGCCATCCTTAAAAATTATCCTCAGCTCTAACACTGAAAATAATGATAATAAAGTGTAGATCCCTGTAATTGAGTTTAAAGCAGTATGACTGTTACTTAAATAAGTGTTGCTTGTAACCACCAAAATAGCCCAAGTAGCTTTTTGGTATCTTATCTTGAAATCAGATTTTTAGATTTGGAATGGAATTGACCATGTTAGTTGTCAAATAACATTTTGAAACTTTGAATGTATCCATTGAGTTACAAAAATATATTGTGAATTTCTTGATCAGCATAGGAGAGATTTATGGTGAAGCTCTTGTTTTTGCGTAGAAATAAGATATTTAGTAGTTTATTTCTCTTACAGTTAAAATGTCAAGAATGTCAAATGCTGCCAATTTAATGGTTTGATAGCTACCTCGTTTTAAGAAAGCAAGATGGTCACCTTTGAGAGGAACATTCAGTGTTTAAGCCTCCCTTTTAAGTAGGTGATAGATTGTTTTGGTATTTTTAGACTGGAGAATGTTGTTAGACCACTCTTACGTAGTGGTACAAGTGGTCTTTTTTTCTTTCACTTTCTTGCAAGGACAAGTGGCAGCTATCTACAACACTCTTGGAATTTATTGTCAAAGTAGCCTCCAAGTTACAAGGCAGATAGCCTTAGAAGGTCTCATAGCTTAAATTACCAGTCAGTATCATCATATCAGCTAGCTCTCAAGGGGTAAGATGTTAGGAAAAGTGAGACGGCAGCAAAGATCTCTCTCCTTATGGTTATTTTTGGTTGTCCTACATTGGGATAAGTTGACAACTCTTGCTTTAGATGCAGTGTTTAATCTAACACTACAGAGGATGATGTTTGACTAAAAGAAGAAGAGGCAGCGTTTGGGAATCTGTAATTGTGAAGTCCCTTGATTATCAAAGAAAATCTTTTGCTAAAAGATTTGAAGGACCATGAACACAAGATTTGGAATTACTACTCCCAATAGGTATATTAACTTTGCTAGTGACCCATTCTGCCTAGTGTGCCTAGATAGTACTGCCTTTTTAATCTTTGCTTTTCAAGGACTTTCCAACTGGTATTGGGGATTTTTTTTTTTTTAAACGTAGGAGTGGAAATGAAAGGGAATAGAATTTGCTTTTATTATTCTTTTTAATTCTGTAGACTGTCATTTTTTAAATTGGGAGGGAAGGATCTCAATTCTTATGGATACTAAGGCAAAAAATATTTTTAGGTTCAGGGTAGAGTTAAGAAAATTGAAGTTGTTTCAATGGCGGAAAGCGTCTAGGAAGGTTTTTTCCTCTTTACATGGGAATAAGGTTGCGTTCAATACAAGTCTTCATAGTCTGAGATCAGTTTATGAAAGAGACTGCTTGTTACTATCTTTGGTCTTAGGAATACACTGGCATTTGGTCTTTCAGAGCAAGAATATTAAAATAAATTTGATGGAGATAGTTGAGATGTGTTGAGGAATAGTATTTCTGGAGTTAGAATCTTAGATTTTGAAATGTTGAACCTAAAAATGACAACGAAAAATTAAAATATAGACCTTAGGTCGTCATTCACACACTCACTTCTCAAGAATCATGGCTCCTTAAAGGAGTGCTTAAAATGCCTTGGCTTATCTATACTGGACTTGGCCTGACACCTTTTCATGGTTTTGAAGATGGCTGTTTACAGCTCTGACTCCACAGCCCTGTTTTGTGTAAAGTAATTATTGATTATTCAGGAATAGACAATACATGTTTTAATTACCCAAGGGCTTCGTTCCTTCTTTGTCTGTTTTATTGTTTATTGTTTTCAGCAGAGAATAATAAAAGGGCAGAGAAGAAAAGGGAGGAATTTCTGGTCTTGGTCAGTCACACAACTGCAGTGGAATGTTGGAATATTTTCTAGGAAAGAAGTCAGTTTTACCTCACAAATAATTAGTGCTACCTATTCTCAAATGTACAGCTTTTGAAACTATTTGTGTAGATGAACATAGCTCTACTCAAAGTTTCAGTTAAAATGCTATGCCTGGTTTGCATATCAATCAGTGGCCTACTCTTCTAAATGGTGAGTGCCAATGTCTTCCTTCCTCACCCTGAATAATCTAGTGCCAGCTTTATAAAATGCCAGGGTTATAAACCTAAGCACAGACCTTCAAGTGTTAAATTTTTGAAAAGCATCAGGTTAAATTCAGATGGATCACACTGATATACTGTACTTTGCATAGAAAGTGGTGGGTGGCTTTCAGGGAAGATTGTAATTTAATCTTAATAAAGCAATATTTAGTATTGAAGACAGACACTATTTTTATTTTCAGCATTCTGCCAAGTAAAACAAAACTTGCCAATAAAATAATCAGTATTAAAGAACTGCCATGCAAGCTTCTGGCTATAGAAAACATCTCAGAACTGCATTCATTCAACAGACACTTAAATGTCCGTGATCCAGGTACTTTGCCCGATGCCAGAGATACAGAGATGAAAGAGAATGCCTGTCCTTGAGAGGTTCACAGCTTAGGAGGTGGCATGACAAAATTCATTACTATACCCATTATTAGTTTACCTAGATAAACATATTTTAGTCTTGTTGCTGGTGGGAATTAAAGACCAGCTTTTGGGCATTTTAAAGTGCAAAGTATAGTATACCTTTTTTTTAAGTAAGAAATTAATGTTTTTCAAGATTGAAGTTTTGTCAGTGCTCTTCAAGCACGCGGAGTAATGGAATGTCATTCTTTTTTCCTTTCCCCTGGATAAGGCACTTTTCACTGCCTGTCTGTCGCTCGTTAGCAGATACTGATTTGTAGCCATGAAGTAAACTTCTTATACATGCTCTATAAAGGTTTTTTGTATTTTTTTCCTTGATGTTGTGATTTTTTTCATTTGCTTAATAATGACAAATTTAATGTATGTAATTATCTATGCATTTTAAGTTAAACTGCCTAAAATGTGATTTGAGGCTTATACATTTGTTTATATTATGAACTGTAAGCAATCTGTTTGAGAGGTTAGGTTTTCTATCACCTGCTGCTGTATTTGTAAACAAAGACAAATATTGGTTTAAGAAGTAATCATAATTAGGAATAGTCTATGGATGTGATACTTGATTTTTTTAAGCTAAATTTGTTTGCTTTTGTGTATTACACCTGAAAACTTTTTTTAAAAATGTATTTTCATGGTTTCACAGTTTTTCCATGTATTTTATTCTTCCTTGAGCAAATCCAGAGCCTAATTAACTGCAAATTTGTTGTCATAAAGAAAGAAAAAGAGGGCCTGAGATACCCCTTTGTGTGGGACCTGAGTTCACTAGGCACTTAAATAGGCTGCCTGGGAATAACCCTTTCTCCACAAACCACTTTCAGCGACACGGTGTCCATTGTGAGGATTTCCTCTTCTCCCTTTAAGGCTAGGCTGTTCTTTGTAACCAGGTTATCTGTATATACAAAGTTAGAGGACTTTCCCTCTCTGCCCCTGCTGCCACCACCCCTGCTTTCTTTTATGAAAGATGATAGTTCTACTGTTGCCGTAACTGCTCTGCCCTTAGTGTAGTTTGCCATTTCCTTTCCACAGGGGGTTTGCCAGCCTTTCTTCAATTCCAGTTAGAGGGGGTCTATGAATTAGTGAACAATTTGTAGTACATTTTACTTTTGAAAGGGATTTCTGCTTTTTGCCTTACAATTGGACAAAATGCAACTGTAAATTTTTAAATTGCCTTTGATGTCTTATTTCATATCCCCTAATAGTACCTACCTAAAGTGGAGCTATGAAATAGGTAGTGAAATGTAAGACCATTCTGCAGCAGGGCTGGGTTTTTTCCCATTGTAAAATGGCATTGCCTTAACAAATATATTCTTCTCTTGGTACCTGACCCAAGCAGGTTCTGTTTTTTAACCACCATATTAAAACTTAGCGCCAGGGGCCGGCC